AGTGAAGGGACCTTAGGGTTTATCCACCTTTTTTTGCCTTGCTTTGGTTTTTAGATTAAAAAAAAAATTATTTGAAAAGTTAAGTTACAGAGAGAGAGAGAGAGAGAGAGAGAGAGAGAGGAATCTTCCATCTCCTGGTTCATTCCCCACATGGTCGCAGTGGCCGGAGCTGGACCAATCTGAAGCCAGGAGACTAGAGATTTTTCTGGATCTGATGTGGGTGCAGGGGCCCAAGGACTTAGGCCATCTCCCGCTGCTTTCCCAGGCACATTAGCAGGGCCTTGGGTCAGAAGTGGAGCAGCTGGTTCTCCAAATGGGAGGTCGGTGTCACAGGAAGTGGCTTAAAGCAGCTATGCCACAACACTGGTCCCCCTGTCTGTTTGCTTATAACAAGAACAAAACTGAGGTCCAGGAGGTCAAGTGGCTTGCCCAAGGTCACATAGCAGGTAGAGTCAGGGAGCCTATCCTGGTCAGCTCCATGGAGAACAACAACATAGTGGACCCAAGAAGGAGCCCACCTACCTGGAAATTGATGGTGCTGGCTTTCCTCTGCACAGGTGAGCAGGGGCAGGGTCCAGCTTGTTTTTTCACAGGCCATTTTGCAGACACTCACAGCAGGATGCCTCTGGAGGGCCCTGAATCCTTGGACGCACTGGTAGTGAACTGTCTGCCCCACGACAAAATGATAAATTCTCTTCTTAGCTTCATGTTCCCAAGGTGGAGGCTCCTTGCAGTGACCTGGGAGGCGGGAAGAGAATTCGGAAGGCCTTGTGAGTGAACCAAGGCAGCTTCTTGCTAGGAATGGTGCATGGTCCATGAGTAAGCTGGGTCCCCAGGAACCCTGTCAAAACCTCCGAAAATCCCCCATGCCCAGTAATGTTCCACTCCTCCTGACTACAACCCAGGCCCTGACTGATCTTGACCTCAGAGATCATGTTCTGTTCCGACTTACTCTCAATATTCTCTAACCTCTGGCCCTGTCTGCACCTGTGGAACTGCATGTACCCTCCAGGCTCAGGCTGTGAAACTGATTGTGAAATTGTGCTTCCAGACTCTCTGCCGCCCTGGGCACCCAGCATGATCTCTACCAGTAACCTGCACGAGCAGGAAGCTGGAGTGCACACGCCGAGCTGTCTTCTGCCATGCAGCACCTTGAGAGAATGAGTGCTCTTGTGTTTTCATCTCACAGTAAAAAGTGTTGTTTTATAGTCACCATCTGTGACTGCCTGAACTGTGTTTGAACTGGATTTGCTTCTTTCACATGAAGCGTCCAAACTAAGGCAATTGGCGAAATATCCCTCAGCCAGAACTAGCTTTTGATCTCTTGAGTAAGGACAACAAGCTGAGCTCTTCAAAAACCTTTTGGTAATTGTGGGTGGGTAAGCTGGAGGTGACAGCAACACAAACACCATTCCAAGACAACGTTGGAGGGGAAAGCGATAAAAACATGATGATGCAACAATGCCCCTAAATTTTTTTAAATAAAAGAAATTGTAAATGAATGCAAACTATATCAAAATAAGTAATTAGTAGAAATATCCCTCATCTAATTCAAGAGGACTGAAGTCTTACTCCAGTCCTATTATGTGTTAGTTTATTTATAGATTTATTTATTAATTTACTTAATTTCCAGGTTTGGGGAGTGGTGATTGAGCCAGGACTGAAACCTAGGCACTCAAATATGGGACATGGGCATCCCAAGTGGTGTCTTTTTTATTTATTTATTTATTTTATTTTTTGACAGGCAGAGTGGACAGTGAGAAAGAGAGAGACAGAGAGAAAGGTCTTCCTTTGCCGTTGGTTCACCCTCCAATGGCCGCCGTGGCCGGCGCACTGCGCTGATTCGATGGCAGGAGCCAGGTGCTTCTCCTGGTCTTCCATGTGGTGCAGGGCCCAAGTACTTGGGCCATCCTCCACTGCACTCCCTGGCCACAGCAGAGAGCTGGCCTGGAAGAAGCGCAACCAGGACAGAATCCAGTGCCCTGACCGGGACTAGAACCTGGTGTGCCAGCGCCGAAAGGTGGAGGATTAGCCTAGTGAGCCGCAGCACCGGCCCCAAGTGGTGTCTTAATTGCTAGGCTAAACACCCATCCCCTATTACATGAGTCTTTAACTTCTCTGTGTCTTGGTTGCTTTAGTGACTTGAACTAATCCTCCCTTCTCCTGACTCATTGGGTTGTGAGGTTCAAATGAAATTATATATGAAATGATAATGCTACTCATCAGATTCTAAAATTAGCAAGGACTATGGGGTTCTTCTAAGGTCAGCTGGTTCCCGAAAAGGTCAGGCTTTCCTAGCAGGCTCTGATACTTCCTAACATTGTGACTTAACTGTAGCATCTTTCATTTGGACAAGCTGTGGGCAATCATGTACACTCTGTTAACTAGGAGGTGCTTGTCTGGAGTTTGAAGAACCACCAGCCCATTTTACAGCCCCATCCTGTTAAAAAAAATACTTTATCATACATTGTTTTATTTGCAACTTGTCATCATACTTAGGATGAAAATAGCATGGATTTCCTTGAGGTCGGGGATGGCTGTCCTGTACATGTTTGCATTTTGGATGGCAGTGCCTGGCACATAATCCCAACACATGCTTTTGAATTAAATTGAATAGTTGAGTACTATTTAGACAGTTCCCAAAGCAGAGCCCAGGTTGGGTGCTCTAACTGTGGTTTGAGTTTCTGAGCAAACAGCAGTAGTTCTTGTCCACAAGATCTCTAAGAAGAGAAGGAAACGCACATGGCTGTGCATGTGGGGCACAGACTTTTCTCCTTGGGGAGCACCATCACGCAGGTGCAAGGGAAGGGTTGGCTCCCAGGAGTCAGTCAGAGGACAGCTGTTGCAAGTCACCTCTTACCTGGAAGGTCCACGTGGTCCTCAGGCTCCATTTGACTTTGCATTTCTGTGCTTTTTCCTTCTGTCTGTTCTTCAGGTTGAGTTGTAATGTTTTCTGGGTTCCTAAGAGCTGTGTGGGATGAAATAGCTTCACAAACGCTTCAAATAGAAGACACCATTCATTTACTCAGGAAGAAAACCCTTCTAGTGCCTGCCATGTGCCCGGCAATGCCCGGGTGCTAGGGTACAAAGGTAAACTGTGGGTGAGCCCTCCCCTTGGGTGATGCCTACCAGACCTGGCCGGGCAGCCCTGGCCTCTCTGCTTTCATGTGCTCAATGACATGGTCTACTACACATTTCTGAAAGAAACGAACCCATTTTCTGGTGGGAGATCTTTTCTATGTGTGTCTCATCTAAAGGGACTTCTTTCTTGCCCTCAATTCTGTCAATGTTGTGTGTGCATGTGTGACGGTAGTTAGGAGTTCTGAATCCTGTGCTCTCCTAAAGCAGTTCAGAACTCTCGAAGATAGAAAGAAGCAATCTTAAAGAGAACTTCTGTAACACCTGCCTCTATGGTGGAGTAGATGGATGGCCTGCGTGTGAGCACCCCTGGGGGGTGGGCTCAGAATCCCAGCTTAGAATAAAGGAAGGGCTCTCTGGGGGTGGGGAACAACAGTGAGGTGCTTTAACAGAGCCGTGGGGTTCAAACTTTAGTCTCCAGACATAGATTGGGGGAACACATGACACTGAGACATGCAGCTGACACCATCCGTAGAGTTAAGGGATAAGAAGATGAATGAGGGGGCCGGCGCCGTGGCTCACTTGGTTAATCCTCCGCCTGCAGCACCGGCATCCCATATGGGCGCCGGGTTCTAGTCCCGGCTGCTCCTCTTCCAGTCCAGCTCTCTGCTGTGGCCCGGGAAGGCAGTGAAGGATGGCCCAAGTGCTTGGGCCCCTGCACCTGCATGGAAGACCAGGAAGAGGCACCTGGCTCCTGGCTTTGGATCGGCGCAGTGCCGGCCATAGAGTCCATTTCGGGAATGAACTGACGGAGGGAGGAGCTTTCTCTCTGTCTCTCTCTCACTGTCTATAATTCTGTCAAATTAAAAAAAAAAAAAAAGATGAATGAACCCAACACTGTTTGCATTCTAAAATCACAGAGTGGATGGGAAAAGAGCTGTGTAAGGCAGGCTTTGGAGCTAGAGGAACCATGTTCAACAGCAGAAGTCACGTGACCAGATCAACTTAGGCGTAGGGAGCATTCTGCGGGACTTTGACTTCAACTTGCACTTCAGGGAGGCCAGGCTCCAGCAAACGCTCCAGCAATGGCTCTGCCATCTCAGCTTTCTTCACCAGTACCGATGCAGTTCGGGGATTTGGGGAGCCACCAGACTCTCTCTCTCTCTTTTTTTTTTTTTTTTTTTTTGACAGGCAGAGTGGACAGTCAGAGAGAGAGAGACAGAGAGAAAGGTCTTCCTTTTGCCATTGGTTCACCCTCAGCACACCGCGCTGATCCGAAGCCAGGAGCCAGGTGCTTATCCTGGTCTCCCATGCGGGTGCAGGGCCCAAGCACTTGGGCCATCCTCTACTGCACTCCCGGGCCACAGCAGAGAGCTGGGAGAGGGGCAATGGGGACAGAATCTCGCACCCCGACCGGGACTAGAACCTGGCGTGCTGGAGCCGCAAGGCGGAGGATTAGCCTATTGAGCCACAGCGCCGGCCAACCACCAGACTCTCAAGCTATGTTTTGATGTCCAGAAATGAAAAGATTCAATGAGAATAACCTTCTCTTTCTCCCTGAGGCTGATTTGTAGTATTACCCAATAACAGTCTGATCTACCTGTGGGCTCCTCATTCTCCTCATCCCTCCACACCCAGTATCCCAGTCTCTTGGAGGACATTCCTGGTGCTCTGGACGCTGGTTCCTGACACTGGACTGGCAGTACTTTCCTTGACAATGTTGCCTTCCCTCAACCCAAAATGATGTGTGAGCTTTAGGAATCAGGAAACAAATAAGCCTACAAGAGAGTATGTTCAGCTTTATGGGAAGTGAAGATTCTTCCATGAAGAGTATTTCTCATGAAATATTTTTATATAATATGTATAACAAAAAATTTACCATATTAAGTGTACAACTCCATGACATTAAATACATTCATAATATTGTGAGCTAGAGTTGTTTTTAATTGTTTAGTGCAATGTCCATCACCCCCACCCCCAACTACACCCCAAAGGAAATTTAAATTCACTGAGGGCGTGGCTGATTATATCCCCAGTGCCTAGAACCATTGTTAGAACTGGTAGACACTCATTAAATATTTGTTTGATGGGTGAATATTCTAGAAACCACTGAAACCACGTACTCTGTAGACTGAACAGGCTACTATTTGCCTATAGGACGGAGTGAATGAAAGCTGGACTCTGCCTCCGTCTTCACAGCAGGTTCCCTTTCCTCAGGTCGTGACAAAAGGAACGACTTACAATTGCTTGTGCATTGACATTTGTTGTCCCAGAAAGAGTGGCTGGAGTTTCCTGTACAAAGCATGTAGGATGACCCGTATTTAACTCGGCGGAAGCCAGCCTCGCAGTCACAGGTTAGCATGGTGCCGATCTTGTAGGCGAGGGCCCTGAAGGTGGCTTTGCTGAGCTGTGGCGGATCGTCACAGAAGTCTGCGAAGGAAAGAGAGGCATGTTGGGAGTTTGGGAAGTCCCAGTCACACAGGTACGGGTCTCGTCGCGGAGCAACATAATCACATATGTCTTCATTTCTAAAGTGAATTTGTATACGCGCTACATTTTCCTAGAAAAGAACTGAGTCTGCTAATGGTCTTTCTTTGGAAACCTTTGCGTCAGAGGTGGCTCAAAAGTTTAGTTCCAACCAAGTTCCTCTACCACGTACAGAACAGCTCAAATCAAATGTGTGCACAAAGCAGTGAGCTTTTCTTCTGCGTGTGCTTCCTGTCGCACAAGCATAGGGAGAGATGAGCACCAGGAATCTGAGGGACGCTGTGGAAATTCATGTGAGGGAAGAAAAGTGTGTGTGTAAAATGCTTTTCAGAAATAAGGATTGCCAGGCATTCGCTAACGAATGATTCTGCACCACATTTGAGAAATGTACATAAAGTGCTTTTGCTCAATATCTGAAAGTAGCAAATGTGTGTTTCCCACCCACCTGCTGGCCTCTGAGTCCACCAGCTGCCTTGTCATACCAGGATGACCACAGACGTCAGCTTTTCCCTACTCCAGTGAAATACTCGGGGCAGGCTAACTTGACAAAGGAAAACATTTATTTAGGCACATTATTCTAAGGGTATAAAATCTGGCACCTCATCTGGTGGTGGTCTTCTAGCTGGCAGAGTCCGGGGGGGGGGGGGCAGTACCTTACCCAGCAAGGGGCTGAGCACATGCATGTCTGTCTATAAATGTCTCTCCCTCCTAATCACGTGGATGGGGGAGGCAGGGCAGGAAAAGCTGGGAGAACACAAGCCTCCAGCAGTGAGCATGCCATCCATGGGAACATCTTTTTGTCGGAGGGAAGCTTCTCTGTGCCCTTTGACCCGCCCAGCAGCTTCTCAGCCATGGAGACAACCCATATCGAGCAGCTCAGCACTCTCCTGATTCCCCCCAAGAACCGAAGGTGGGTAGGACTTGGACAGCTTGGCCCGCTCTAACCAAGAAGGGGCCGAACAAAAGCAATTTGAATGAGTCCAGGGGGCCAGCAATTACAGTAGAACAGGTAACAGGAAGATTCAGTAAATTCTGATAATCATTATAAGGCAGGAAAGGCAGAATGGTGACGAGGGGAGGAAAGATGGGTTTCTAGATTCTTGCTGTATCAGCTTACTAGCTACGTAGCCTTATTGTTTTCACTCCTCCTGGGGGCAGTTTCCTTTTCTGTAAAATGGGTGTAATTATCATAATTTTACAGATTTGATGGTGAGATAGCATACTAGGGTAAGTTGCAGAGTGCCTGGCAAATATAGGTATATAGTAACTGCTGGTTTTTCTGCCTTCATTATTTTTCATTGTCGGAAAAAGAAAATGGAAATTCAGAGAGAGACTAGGCTCAAGTTTACCTTAACATTTAACTCTTGGAAAAGGTCATCATTCTCTCTCTCTCTCTCTCTCTGCCTGCTGCCTGCATTATCAGTACAATTTGCTGCTACTTATGTTAACACCAACAAATGTTTTAAGTGCCAGAAGGTTAATCTGTTGCTAAACCAAGATTTGGATAATAATAATAATAATGAGAAAAACCAATGAGGACTTCTGCTTCTAGCCATGACAGAGTAACTGGGTACAAACTTGTCTGTCTGCTGGAAACACCTCTACCAGACAAAATGTGTGCAGCTATGGAACAACAGGTCAACAAGAGCTACGTCTGGGAGGAGGGAAAGCATGACATGAGCTCACAGTGGTCATGGCTTTCTTCCTAGGGAATTTCCCTCCCGTGCAGCACTGAAGTAAATCCCAAGCAAACTGGTGGTCTACTGACCGGCAAGGACTGACATTTGCAGCGAGGAGCTCTGGAAAGGGGAACATAGCACAAAGCAGGCCCCATAGAGAGCATGGAAGACCAACTCAGGTTCTGTGGCAAGAGCGGGGCTGAACACAAACAGGGCAGGACTCAGTGAGACTGAGCACGGATGGCCCATGGTAGGGGTTGACAGAAAAATAGTCACACCAAACTTCAATTACAGAATGCGCACATGACCTGGGGCACTACAGATTTTCTCATCCCGCTCCAGTGGAAGAGACATTCTTAAGATGAATTTCAGATCCAGAGCAGATCTGCCTGTAGAAAAACAAAACCAAGCCAGACAGACAAAATGATGCACCAGGCATTTAAGTGCCTCCTAAAACAAAATTAAGCCCCTCGAGGGCCGGTGCTGTGGCATAGTGGCTAAAGCTTCCGCCTGCAGTGCCGGCATCCCATACAGGCGCCGGTTCAAGTCCTGGCTACTCCTCTTTGGATCCAGCTCTCTGCTAGACACCAGGAATGAAAACTAGAATAACTGACGAAGTGTGGAAATTTCTAGATGAGGGATTTACCAACCTTTCCTAGAAGACAAAGAAGTGACTACATTAAGAGCTTGGGGGCCAGTGCTGTAGCGTAGCGGGTAAAGCCCTCACCTGCAGTGCGGGCATCCCATGTGGGCGCCATTTTGAGTCCCGGCTGCTCCACTTCTGATCTAGCCCTCTGCTGTGGCCTGGGAAAGCAGTAAAGACGGCCCAAGTGCTTGGGCCCCTGCACTCATGTGGGAAGACCCAGAAGAAGCTCCTGGCTCCTGGCTTTAGATCGGCACCACTCCGGCCATTGCTGCCAACTGGGGAGTGAACCAGCAGATGGAAGACCTCTCTCTCTCTCTCTCTCTCTCTCTTTCTCTCTCTCTCTGTTTCTCTCTCCCTCTCTGTCTGCCTCTCCTCTCTCTGTGTAAGTCTGACTTTCAAATAAACAAAGAAATCTTTTAAAAACAAAAACAAAACCCTTGACTCTCAAAGGACACCACAATCCAAATTCTCTGTGACACTCTCTAATGTATAATTCATAATACTGAGCAAGTTATAAAAAATTTCTAGGCACATGAAGAAACAGAAAAATACTTCCTACCTAAAAACACAGTCAATATTAACAGACCCAAAAATCCTCCAGGATTCAGAATTACCAAGAAAGGAGTTTAAAGTCGTTGTGCTCAATGATTTAAAACAAGGGGCAGCAAACCACAGCCTGCATAGAGGCTGACATTTATTTATATGTTTTTAAAAGATTTTACATTTGATTGAAAAGCAGAATTAAAGACTGAGGAAGAGAAAGGACTTGCAACCACTGTTGCACTCCCCAAATGGCCACAAGGGTGAGGGTTGGGCCAGGTCAAAGCCAGGAGCCTGGAGCTCTAGCTGGGTCTCTTCTCGCACTTGGGTGGCAGGGACTAAGGCACTGGGTCCACCTTCCACTGCTTTCCCAGACACATTAGCAGGGAGATGGATTGGAAGTGGAGCAGCCAGAACTTGAACTGACGCTCATATATAGGATGTTGGCTTCACAGGCGGTAGCTTAATCCACTGCACCACGACTCCAGCCCCAAGCTGCCTTTTTTTTTTTTTTTTTTTTTGACAGGCAAAGTGACAGAGAGAGACAGAGAGAAAGGTCTTCCTTTGCCGTTGGTTCATGCTCCAATGGCCACCGCGGCCGGCGCGCTGCGGCCGGCGCATCGCGCTGATCCGAAGCCAGGAGCCAGGTACTTATCCTGGTCTCCCATGCGGGTGCAGGGCCCAAGCACTTGGGCCATCCTCCACTGCACTCCCGGGCCATAGCAGAGAGCTGGACTGGAAGAGGGGCAACCGGGACAGAATCCGGCGCCCTGACCAGGACTAGAACCCGGTGTGCAGGCGCCGCAAGGCGGAGGATTAGCCTATTGAGCCACGGTGCTGGCCGCCATTTATTCTTTTTTTTTTTTTTTAATATATATATATTTTTTTGACAGACAGAGTGGACAGTGAGAGAGAGACAGAGAGAGAAAGGTTTTCCTTTGCCGTTGGTTCACCCTCCAATGGCCGCCGCGGCCAGCGCGCTGCGGCTAGCGCACCGCGCTGATCTGATGGCAGGAGCCAGGTGCTTCTCCTGGTCTCCCATGCGGGTACAGGGCCCAAGCACCTGCGCCATCCTCCACTGCACTCCCTGGCCACAGCAGAGAGCTGGCCTGGAAGAGGTGCAACCGGGACAAAACCTGGCGCCCCGACCAGGACTAGAACACGGTGTACTGGCGCCACAAAGCGGAGGATTAGCCTAGTAAGCCGCGGCGCCAGCCCGCCATTTATTCTTATAAACAAAGTCATGACCATTCGTAGACATTTCTGCTATAATGGCAGAGCTGAGTAGTTGCCACAGAGAATACAGAGCTTCCTCATCTAAAATATTTACTCTGGCCCTTTTAGAAAAAAATGGCTAACAGCTAATCTACAGGGAAAACGGTCATAATGAGTGAACCAATAAGCTCCATAGAGAATTGAAGACTATTAAAATAACCAAATGAAAATTCTAGAACAAAATGTATAATGTTTAAAAATGAGTTTTAATCCTCCGCCTTTCAGCGCCGGCACACCGGGTTCTAGTCCTGGTCAGGGCACCGGATTCTGTCCTGGTTGCCCCTCTTCCAGGCCAGCTCTCTGCTGTGGCCAGGGAGTGCAGTGGAGGATGGCCTAAGTACTTGGGCCCTGCACCCTATGGGAGACCAGGATAAGTACCTGGCTCCTGGCATTCGGATCAGCGCGATGCGCCGGCCGCAGCGCGCCGGCCGCGGTGGCCATTGGAGGCATGAACCAACGGCAAAGGAAGACCTTTCTCTCTGTCTCTCTCTCTTTCTCTGTCCACTCTGCCTGTCAAAAAAAAAAAAAAAATGAGCTTAACTATAGCTTGATGACAAATCTCAGTCGAGCTTATCCAAGCTGATGAATACAGGGAAAAGGTTTTTTAAAAAAGTTGAAAAGATCCTTAGTGGCCCATGGGATAATGTCACATAATAGTCTAATATAAATTTAATAGAAATTCCAAAGGGAGAGGAGACATATCATGAGAAGAAAAAACCATTTGAAAGAACAAGGCCCCAAATTTCCAAATTCTTAGGACAAACATTGATTTACAGACCCACGATGCTCTGCAAGATAAGTGT